AACAATATTAATACAGAAAAGCAAATATACACAGCAAGGCCAGAGAACACATGATGCAGACTGAAAGAGGATATGAATTTGTTTGAGCCTTTTGTACATCAAAAAACAGATCACTTCAAGATCACTTTTCACCTGTACAAACATGTCCCTCCTGTGGTCTCATTACTGATACTTTCTGCTGTAACCTTTAAAAACATACTTTAATGTGCACCGCTATACTGCTAGCTGCATCCTAAACATTATGAGCATTGCACGCATACAAATAACTGAACTGTAGCATTTACCACTCAGTCTCTCTCGTGTAGAGATTCACCTAAATAACTCTGAATAGGAACTTCAATCTCCTCTGGTATCTACAACAAACATGCACTTTCACATACACACACCACCACCAACACCATCCAATTAATCTCCTCAGAAACAAAGGGAGGCTTCTAATCAACACAGGACAGAGAACAAGCCATGGCACAACACGCATGGTAATAGCAGGCAGATAATTGTAGATGCTGTGTAGACAAGCAATGTGGGTGATTTTGCACTACTCCAACATTCAGTCCGTATAATCGAACTTAGACATAAATGATGAATAGCAGGCGATTTGCAGCTCTTTCGAGCAGTGTAATTGGTGAATTTGGAAATTTTATCTTTGATTCACAACAAGCGATATGCTGCCCTGCGTATTGTACAGTTATCTCGGATTGATGTGAAACAGCTGCCAACACAAATAAATCTTTGGCCGATTGACTTATCTTTTTCAAATCTCAGGCCTCGGCTGAGAAAAATACTGTGTATTTGTCTCAACTCTCACCCTTCTGTTAACATAGATTTTTCCTACTCTATCTATAAGGGCCCTGCTGTGAGTAAATACACCTCTTTTGTAAGGATTTAAATCAATGCCACATCTCTCTCTCTCTCACACACACACACACACACACACACACTGCACATTTGTTTTTGCTTGATCTTGCTAAGCTGGGCAAACTTAGACAACTGTTCAAAAGTGAACTGTAGGTATAGTACAAAAAGGCCCAGACAGAAAAAAAAGGCTTCTTCTTTAATGGCTTCATTTTTATTTTGTGACTTTGTAGGTTTCCCTTTCCTGCGTGTGGCTTTGTTTGCATGGTTGACACATTCCTACCATCCTTGGCTTACAGGACATTAGAAGAGTGGACTTTGATTTGAAGACCTTTCGACTGTGAGTGAAAACCCTTTGAACACCTGGATTGAACTGATAGCCTCTCTAGACTCAGGGAGAGTGAATAATGTACATAGAGAGGAGTGATCCATCCTCTAGTCCATTACCCAGGCTGAAAAAGACATCCTGTATGTGTGTGTGTGTGTGTGTGCATGGCTGTGTTCAATCACTCACTCGTACACTCACAAACAGGTCAGTTCTTGCAGATGCGTGTGTAAAGGTTTCTGTCAGATATGACATTCCTTCAATGTGTTCGATCGACATGTAAAATGGAAGCTTTTTTCTCTCTCACTCTCTCTTTGCCAGCTTCCTTTCATCCCTCTCTGCCCTTCCTCTCTTGGGGTGAGAATTGCAAAATCAATAGAGCTAAATGGAGTTGCCGTGGAAGCCATTGAGTGTCCTTTTTAAGTGCTGGAGGAACAAGGACAGTAAGAAGCAGCTGTGACACCCCACAGTCACCTCTTCCTCTTCTTCCCTCAGTCCACCACACTCCTTTTTCAACAGTCTTTACTTCTCTCTGAGCTTGTCCTTATAATTCACCACAAAGCACTGTAGCTGCTCCTTAGTTCAACAGAGATACTGAAAAAGAATGCATTAATAAGTAATTCAAATAGTAAGTAAGACAATGTGTTACATAAAAGGAAAAAGCACAAAAGGTGTGAGGAAGTAAGAAATGTGTGGAAAAAGTATACCACTAACATTAGATATGATACACTCACTTTTATTTTCTAGCCATTTAGTTTGTTAGTTAAGTTTTATTCATTCAGGAAGTCTCATTGAGATCAAGATCTTATTTTTACCAGAGAGGCCTAAAAAGTAATTACATAAAAACATTAGAATTGTTGTATCTGCAAAGCTGTTTAGCTTTCGTCTGTTGTGCTACAATATGCTTGTAAATCAAATGTAGATAATTTTTTAAAAACTATTTTTTTATTAAAAGGAACTAATTATTTTTTTTTTTTTTTAAAATATGAAATTCAATAAAACTGAAAAACAGGCTGAGCACATAGGCCAAACATGGAACAAATAATGTCCATGGCACTAACAAGCCCTCAATGAAATGCCCCTAACTTGTCATATCAGGAAACAGGTGTAACTAATTACATTAACAATGGCCCTGTACCTTTGCAGTGAGCCAACATTCACAACAGCAGGAACTGGAACTAGGTCATCTATATGACATGTCTGCTATGACATGTCAAAATGTCTGCAGAGAAAAAGCTTAGACGTTACTGACTATATTTTATGTCCACTGCTTATAACATGTTTGCAGGCACAGGTGCTAAACTTTATTGACTCTGGCAATAGTAGTAATTTTGTCCTTTCATTGTTTGTTTTTTTTTTTTTTTTTTTCATTGGTTCATTGACGGTTGGCAGTAACTCAGTTTGTAGGGACTTGGCTTGGGAACCAGAGGGTGCCCTTGAGCAAGGCAACCTAACCCCAAAACCTGCTCATGGGGCGCCGGTAATGTTGCAGCCCCATCAGTCCACCATCTCTCTCCCCTTAGCATGTCCACAAGTGCATGAAGTGTGCATTTCAGCCTGTGTGTGTGTGTGTGTGTGTGTGTGTGTGTGTGTGTGTGTGTATAAAAAAGAGTGAAAAGAACAACTTCCCCTAGGGGATCAATAAAGGTATTTCTTCTTCTTCAGACAAAAGAATAATAAAAAACTATAAAAAACCTGAGTTATACAGCCCACTAAGTATTCTGCCGTCTTCAATAAAATCCAAATAGATTATTTTATTCGTAGAAGGCTGCTGCTGACACTGTGCTTACTTCTCTTTGACTTAAAATATGGTGTTCTGCTTCAGGGCACATATTAGGCACATATTAGGTTTTGATGATAGTTCTTCAGATTCAAAGAACAGTTGTCTCTTCTTATACTCAGAAGAAGAGACATGTTTTCTTAACTATAGGAATTCACACAAAACCTCTCTTTAATGTACTCCTCTTGCATGTAAAACCACTGGTTAAGTGCATAGTCAGACATTTGCCAAATAATTATTTTTTTGAAAATGAAGAAAATCATTACCATATTATTACCTCACAGATCCACGAAATATCCATTTATGAGAATATTGTGACTATTGTTTTCCTTCGCTTGGTCCATTCTTGCCCTTACTGTATCTGTGTGATGTCATTTTTCTTGTTAACCTCTGGTATTTCAGACCAGTTTCCATTTATATTTAATGACAGTCTCTGCACAAGTGATTTGTACTGGTGAGTAACTCATCACATATTCTCTTTGACTGCCCTGCATGCTTCCTCCGTACTCCTTCTCAAGATCAAACCGAAGGAGCAAATTGGATCCCCGCTATCTATGTTACTGTATTTGTGTGTATGAGATAGAGAGAGAGAGAACAAGGGAAAGATGATAAGAGTAAGAGAGAAAATTAGAAGACGCAAGACTGAAATAGAACTGAGTGTTGAGGTTGTTTGCTAAGAGAACTCAGCAGCCTGCTACTTTGACTGCCCTCTACCTCTGTGGAGAAAAACTTTTCAATCTACCTCTGACCTAAAACAAACAACCACCTGGTTGGAAGGTACACAGCAGTACCAGCAAAGATAATGCCAAGAGACACACTTGGATGTTTGCATGCAAACAAGGAATGACACTGCATAACACAATAAACGTAAGACTTGTATGTAATTTTCCATGCAAACCTGCCCTTAAAATTCCAAAATAAAAGAAGTCTTCGGAGTAGACACACATGCTGATGCATGGTCACACAGCATAAGCACACTTACACAGAAAGACTCAAATACAAATCTCTGATAATCAGCTTAGTGAGCAAAAACTCTGGAGAGCTTGCTGTAATTATGAAGCATTTTCTAATAATTTCAGTATGAGGTGGATATATGCTGAATCCCAGGGGTAAACAATTAAATTAGATTTACGTCTACCATCCATTAGCTGGGGGAGAGTCTGTGGAAAGCGGAGATTCCCGTGCAAGAGACTTCATTGGCTTATCATGGAAATCATTTTGACTCCAGGGATTTTATTTTCTGTATACAGAAGGATTTTCTCTGCTCAGTGACTGCCTGCTGAGCTGGAGGGACTAGATGCCCTTCAGTCCGATGATTCTCAAGACCTTTAATCCTTCCAGCGCCACAGTCACTGGGTGACCCTGCATTGTAATGTCTTCAAGGGAGTGGAAAAAAATAAGATGTCACTTGGACTTTATATCTTTATATTTATATAAAATACCTGCCTGCTGTGCATAAATGTAACTCAGTGGTTATTTACTGTACCATAGAGTACATCTGCAGAATAATTACAGTAGGAAAATCACTGTGCAACATTCAGCAAGGAAATCTTATTATATGCATCTTTCTAGCCAAAGCATCTTCATATGGTGTCACGTTTTCTTTTCAAAGGCTTTCTACACGACTGAAACCGTGAGCTTCACTGCAAATTAGTTCAACAACTCTCCAGAAGCATGACAGATAATAAATATCTGCTGCTAGGTGAGCTATTATCCATAACTAAACAGACTTTCCAATTTGGGTCTATCCTTGTGTGTGTGTGTGTGTGTGTGTGTGTGTGTGTGTAGGATAGCGGTGTCTTCTACCCTCTTATCTCCTGCAGCGAGCAGAAGAAAGTGATGGAGGGCCTCCGGTAATTAGAATGGAGAGCCTCTCCCTTCACTACACAAATAATGATAGCCCTTCACCTGCTGTAGAAAATCACCCTGAATCTATGCTCGCACTCAAATAGGACACAGACAAGCTTGCACACATTCACATACACACACACACACACACACACACACACACACACACACACACACACACACACACTTCACCTGCTCCAGTTTCCAGTGGAACTCGGCGGGTCTGAAAGTGTCGACCTGAGTGAAATCTCTTCTAAGCAGAAACACCAGGCGGCAGTTGTGAACATACAGAGAGTAATGGTGGCGGTTCATTTCTGCAACAGGAAGATCACAGACATACATGATCACACAAAGACACAAACACGTGCAAACATTTAAATATAGTTCCACATTATACAGTGTATCGGTCAACAAGATTATGCCCCCTTACTTTAAGGACAATACAATGTTACACCTGCTCTTTAAGTTTTCTTTTGGAGGCTATTGTTGTTTTTTTTTCAGAAAGCTGTCTTACAGTACAGCTGTGTTAAACTCTTTTCAACTCGTATAAATGGGTTCCCTCATTGAAACACAGCTGTCAGCATGGCAGAAAGGGTCTAGTGAGTGTGATCACAGAGTAAGCGCTGCTGGTATGTCTATTTTTTCATTCTCGACTGGTGGCTGATGGCAATTAAACTCCATAGTGATTAGCTAGTGCTTGCCTTTCAAAGACAATTTTCGTGTTTTTTTTGTAATGAACAGTATTATCATTTCTATTGTGTCAAAAGTCTCATATCAGGATATCAGAGTTCACCATTCTCATATCTAAATAAATGATTCAGTGTTAAATTGTACCACAATATGTCACAGTGTGAGCTCCTAAATAACTTAAAAAATACCAAAGAACATTTGAATTAGTGGGATAAATGTGATTATAGGTTTTGAACATGTGATAAGAAACAATTAGGTAATAATACTAATTATAGCGTCAGCCTGAGGCATGATGGGATACAGTACATGGTCATTTTTCCATACAGTTTTGTTAATCTAGCCCTTACACTGGAACCTTAAGCAAAAAGTTAAAAAATGAAAAAAGGTTTATAAGATTGTGATGGTCTAACACAAACTACTGTGCAGTTTTGCATTACAAGATCAGACTACACATTTCCTAAGCTAATAAGCCATCTGTGAGACCATTGTGAGAGCGTGCAATGTGCAGATGGCTTGCTTAATTACACAGTTCAGGCAGCTCAGTTCAGACATGCAGTGGGAAAAAAGTTTCAAAGGGCTTAATTATCTTGTTATTTTTAAAGTATATTTTTGATCCTGTTATGTTCATAGCATGTTTCTGAGGACACTAGGAAATGAAAGTGTTAAATGTTTCAGTAAAAGGGTTGAAAGAATCAAGTAGTTTAATACCCCTAAAGTACGAGCAGAAATGTTGCTAAAATATGGGAAAATCAAAGGTCAAATCTTTTTTTTGTGTTCAATTTTCACTCTCCAACATGCTAGATGGTGGAAATTTACAACAGTGAGCATGTGTGAAATCGTTTCCTCACCAGTCTTATCAGAGTTACACAGTAAGGTTTCCTTCTCAGCTCTGAGTCCTGGACTGGGCCCGTGTTTCATCCATGTTGCTATAGTGAACTGGTCTGTCAGGTTTTGGGGCACCACGTGATCTGGAACATTAGCAGCCTGATGCCCGTCGAATCTGTAGATGAGGTCGCTGTCTCGGCCACTATCAGTCAGCAGAGATGCGGTCCAGTTTGTGGAAGGGCTGGGGGCAGGAAGGAGGTCGGTGCTGCCTGATGCTGCACCTGGATGTGCCAATCAGAAGATACAAAGCTGTCAAGATCGCTGCAATCAACCTGGTGAGAAACTGTTCTCCACAACTTTCTTTATTTCTTTGCGATTTCTCTGAGTACCAGAAGTCAGCATACGTGAGTTCATGATCTAATGTTGTTTGTCCATATCACAAATGTAACTCTGTAAATCAGTGAGAGATAAGAAATGGTTAATATATATCAAAATAAGACTTGTGTGGACCTTATACTGTGGCATACCAAACAAAAGGGCAAAATACTATGTTTTGACATTGACTGATTCAGAAGACACAGTATAATGAACAACTTACATCCATAAACGTAATGACTAAAATAAATAAATAAATAAAAGATAATAATGAAAATGATCAATGTGATCACAAAATACTTTTTTTTCTTCAGTTAATTATAATTTCAGTCAACTATCAGTTTTCATGTCATGTACTCTATACTGCATTTTACAGTGCAAAGCCATGATCCAGGACACAAATGGAAAGCAATAATGATCACGTCACAGTGTTGAAATTTAATTTTGAATACGAATTATTTCAAAACATTCTCCAGGATTAAAATAGCATGGAAATGGCACACTAATAGACTGTGGAGGCTAAGATGTCAAGAGGTAATTTCTTCTTTGAATTAAATTTTTCTCATTATTATTACTACCCTTTGCTCTCTCATAGTCCTCAACTGTTATTAGTTGCTCACTATTATAACAAGCCATTTCAATCCACCATTTTTTTAAACTCAATATTATATATTCAACATACTTTTCCTCTCTTTTTCTTTTTATCTTCTTACCACAGAGTTTTTGCAGAGACTTCTCAGAGTATGTTTCACGGTCACAGCCCTTCCCGATGTGGTTGGTCTGCAGCTCTACCATCGCCTTCACGCCAGACAGGGGACCTCCGCACGTTTCCAGGTGCATCTTGGGAAACAGCTGCCTACTTCCAGTCCCTGGCTCATATTCCACCCGCTTGTTCCATCCTTTAAAAGTCAAAATTGGTTTAGTGGTTTGCATAGAGTAAGTAGTATTTCATTTTTTCACATTACCTAAGAAATCAACTTAGTTATACCAAAGCTATAACAAAACAGCTCTATAATCAGATTTTCAACCCAAGGCAGCACAAATGAAACAATGGGGAAGAAAATCAACTGGTCCTCAATATGTGACTTTTGCTGTATAAGCACCGTTATTTAATTTATTTATTAATTATCCTAATTTGTGTCTATTGCCTAGGACTTTTTATCTTTTAGCTGTGGTATGAAACAAGGTATTGAGTATTGTTTTCTTTCATACTCATATTGTATTGTAGTTTAAAATTTTGGTATTGTGACATACCTACCAACAAACGCGACAACTTCTGCCCATCATGAGATGGATCTGTTTGGTCTTTGTCTAATATATCATTGTGAGGTTAAAGTTTGGTTAAGGATAAGCCTCATTTTACTTCTGTGAGATTTTTGTGTCATAAAACTGAGTGAACTATGTATTGCTACCTATTTCACTGTATTCCTTTCTTTAAAGCTTGCTCACTGTAGGACCCACATATCGCTTGTTGAATCTTGCTATCTTCGACATTTTTAGCATCATTAGCAGTCCAGAGAAATGTATGAAATAAAACTTTGTGTGCTACTGTAGGTGGTTTCATAATGAGCATGTGGGTCTTGAAAGAATGACAGGCAACCACACAGGTCGGCAACTTTGGAGCTTTGAATTTTCTGAGTGAAATCTTGCCCTGTAGCCCAGTAACATGACAAGCTCGGTAGAAAGGGGCACTGACCTCGTTGTAACTGTCAGTCCTGTTGCCGGGTATTATATTTTCATTACCCAGGTGTTATATGTATCCTCAATGTTTGAGAATGCCTGAATTGCGTTGGTGAAGGGATTCACAAGCATGATTGTGGACAGGAAGGTGTATGTATTGTGTGTGTGTGTGTGTGTGTGTGTGTGTGTGTGTGTGTGTGTGTGTGTGAACATGCCTGTGTGTGTGTAGGTGGACACCTGGCAGCTCTTGCCAAGCCTACAGAATATGATATCAAATCTCCGGAGACAAACATTCACAATGAGAGAAACTGGCTGTGATCAGGTAGGAGTGAGGAGGAGTGAGAGGTGAGGTGGAGCGAGACGTATTTAGCCTCTATTTATGCCGAGGGGCCTTCTTCAAAAGGGAGCTGCAGGAGCACTGCTGACCTTTACACACAGACAATAAATAAGGTTGCGTGGACAAACAACTTTATGTTTGAATGCATCTTTGTTGTTTTATTCATGGATTTAAGATACTATGGGTTAATGGTGTCACAACAGGATTATGCAGTACGGCCTCTTTTATGAGCCAAATCACAAAGAATCATGCAACATTGATGAGGATGTTAGCAGTGTATGAGAGCAAGTGTTTCTTTGTGATTCAAATGCAGCGTGACTGTAACGCTGTGTGCCCATCTGGATCTCAACAATAATAGTATTTTTTTCCCCTATTGGCAAGAGGAAGATCCAGCTGGTATTTTGTTGTCATTTTGTTGGTTTTATGTTTGTAAATCAGTATGTTTAGAATCAAAATCACATGCCTTCTATTCTTAAATTCTACTGTGCTAAAATCATTGGCCCCTCAGTGCTCTAGAGCATATAAAGTTGACATTTACATTACAGTTTTAATGCCATCTCAGACTTTCTCAACACTGCACTGACTTGTACGCTCTCTGCACCTCCAGCCCTCAGTGATATGCACTGACATTTCCCTCAGTGAGTGTCCCTAAATCCTAAACTGGCATTCACGTCATTTTCATTGTGCACTAGTGCACTTTTTGCACTAATGGATCTTGTCCGAAACATCAGGCTCAGATGTAATTTTTACAAAAATGATCTTCTCTTATCATAGAACAAAATAGCAAGTATTTTTAGAGCAGCTAAAAAAACATCCATCAAAATCATGATGCACATTTATACTGGGCCATGGAAAATACAGTACTTGAATCTTAAATGTTCAAGTCAACAGTCTGAGCTACTCTAAACAAAAGGTATTCACTATTTTATCTAAAAATGGCTGCAACAACTTTAATGAATGTCATGGTGAGAGTGCACGTGAGGTGTTTAGATATTTGAAAATAAAGGATGACGAAGAGGTGAAATCAGTTATTTTAATGCACAATTGCTGCAAACAATGCGGCTAATTCTTCTAACTCCAAGTCATACCGCATCTCTTTTTAACGTTTTTTGGCAATACTTAACACACTTTGGGCCGCTTCGATAGCTCACCAGGTATAGCTGGCATCCCATGTACCAAGCCTGAGTCCTTGCTGCAGTGGCCATGGGTTCAAATCTGACCTGTGGCCCTTTGCTGCGTGTAATCCCCTCTTCAACTGCCACTATCTCCATGTTAGATTAACTTGTACTCCTGCGGACTAGCTGAGGTCATTCCTAGGTCAGAGTTTGTCACATAAACTCACTCTGTAGAGGTTTTTATACATCCTCCACATGGAGAGCCCTTTCAGCCTGCAACATTTCTTGCATCTCTCTCTTCTTCGTTTTCCTGTCATCTCTGTCCGTAATAAAGGCTTCAAGTGCCCAAAAATTATTTTAGAAAATGATATACCATCCACATGAGTTTCAGTGTATTTAGAAATTGGCAAAGAACAATTTGGTTTATGAACAATGAGGAGTCAATCATTGGTGCGTTACAAGAATATGATGGGAATTAATAAAACCGTTGTGGGGACCTGCTCATGGGTTTAAAAACAGCATGTTTAAGAAACATGTGCATTCAGATAATAAAACCATCCCTTTGAAGTAGACTGGGGCTTTACTAACTACATCAAACTCAGTAACATACATCCTGGTTAGGTCATTTATCTCTACCCAGATCTGTGATTCTTTTAAGACAATAGGAATAACCATCTCCTCTCTCCTTCAACTTTGTTTCTCTCTTTCCTCCCTTGAGTTGCCCGTTCATTCTTTCTTGATCTCTTTCTTCCTCCTTTTCCCCTCTCCCCTCTCATCTTTCCTCTGTCTTCCGCTTTCATTCTTGTGTGAGCTTGACTCCTGAGATGCTGTCAGCTGCTGACAGGTGAAGCAGCAGGGGAGACGGGCTGCCTCGAATGCCAAGCTGCTAGCATGTTAAAGGAGGGGGAAAAAACACACACTCAACTCAACTTTCCCTCTGGAGGTTTTTGTCAGGTCTTCTGATTTCCTCGAGAGACGTTTGTTCTAAAATGAGATAGAATTCCCTAGAGGGAAAGGATATTCTCAAAAATTGCACTATACCCTCTGCTTCAGTTTTGATGGTACTTTACTTTAAGCGTGTTTAAGTGTGTTTAAACAATATACCAGTGCGCTTTATACCAAAATAGGAATAAGTACATTTCTGTCAATTATTGCAAGGTAAATTAAGGTATTTTGAAAGCATTTCAGTGGCTGTTTCTTTATCTCTGACCTTGCCATCCAGGTTTGCAGACAGGTTTGACATCAATATGCACAGCCACATCCTCCTTTGCTCTCTTCTGACCACAGTCAAAGGCCGTCACCATAATCTTGTAGCTCTGCTGCTTATCATAGCTCAGGCGTTCTGTGTTCCTGATGTTACCTAAAGGAAAGAAAACCAGTGAGGAAATACAATTATGATTATTCACTGACAGAGAAACGCACTCTTGCTTATTTGATAATAATACAGCAAGAAACACTTTCCACTGAGCAATAATTGAAACTGACTTTGCAGTAAAGAAACAGCTCCTTGAAAACAAAACTAACTCTTTGTGCTTATTGAAGCCTTTTACTGAAAACTCTGGGTCCAGTAACCTTGCGCTGCATTTAAATATCGAAGCCTCTTTGTAAACAGCCAATGTACAATTGCAATGATGGCTTATCTTCAGCTGTCACCAGGGTAACAGTGTAAGAACAGTGTGAGATAGAGGAGATACTACAGGCCTTAATGGATGTTTAATAGTGTTGAATCTCACAGTTGTATTAACATTCACACTGATAAAGTGTCTGTAGACATAATGTGCCCTCATGGTGTTTAATATTGTTAGCCAGGTTCAGATTGGCCACTTCCACAAACACTTGTGTATTTCAACTCTCTCTTTTAGATTGTTTTTATGTGTTATGCTAAATGACCAATTAAAGTATTTTCAATTGAATTGAATTTTTATATTTTTTTATTTTATCAATGTCTCTCTGTTCTGTGGTGGGTTCTGCACTTTCTATCTCCTGCATGACTTACTTTTCATCTAAGAGTTGTGTTATTTTGAAATGCCTTTTTAGCATGTTAAAGCAAGTAGCATACAGTGAAATGAGTGAAAGAAAGTAACTGTTGTGGTCTTATAACAATTAATATACTCAATATGAGTAATCTGGAGCATTTGTTACAACTGTTACATGTACAAAAAAACAAAACATCATAAATGCATAAATCAGTCAAGAAAGAAGAGAAACACATGCTTAATTGGTTGTCTGTGTGACCAAAACACTGTTAACACTGTACACAACTTTATTTGCTACTTAGTAGAGGCCTGGTTTTAGTGAACTAGTTAGGTTAGCTTTGCAGCATAGAATACTTTATGCATGAAAGTTTGTTTAATGAGACCAGTTGAACTCACAAACTTATTCAAATTATTTCAGTATTTCAATGAGCTTCAACTGTTTTAAAGACAAAAATCCTGCAGAAACTGATTCATGAACAACCTTTATAGCAGTGCAAAACTTTGCATTTCTCTCCTTACTTTCTTTTTTCGTTTTGTTTTGTTAATTGTTTACCGTATATGTTGTGGTGGTAAAAGCTGAAGGAAGATGAAATCATATAATTACATACATTGCAATATGATTACAGTAACTGTTTATAAGCAGAAAACTCTATAAGTGTATAGGTCCATGTGTTTTGAAGAGGCCAGCCAGCACAAAACATTTTTAGAGCTTAATTGAGTCACACTTACACCCCAGGAAGAGCGGTGCAACAACACTACAGTAACCTTTATTGACTGAGCTAAACGTCAACAGTGCTGCAGTGAAGTTGCTGTACATCTCAAAGAGCAAAGCAGAACAGAACTTTTCCAGTTGATGAATAAGCAGATTATTTATATGTGAAACTTTAATACAGATGTTCCTCAAGATAAACAAAAGACTTCAAAACAATGTCATATTCCTATTTTGTCATTTTGCATCAGTCATTGCTGTCTGTCTCCAGACCTGTGAGGACATCTGAAGCTATTTTTGTCATTTGCATCTGGAGGCTTGGCTGTATAAAAGGTTGTCACTATGATTGCTGTCGGAGAGAAGAGGAGAGAGTAAAGGAGAAGAAAAGATAGAAAAAGAGGGGAAACCAGAGGACAGGAGGTGCAGTGAGCACAGGAGAAATCAGTTCAGAGCACAGCAGTACACCGCAGAAAAGAGCTGAGCTTGAAATGTCAGAGGAAGAAAGGTGAGGAGGTCAGACAGTTCCTACAAAAGTCTCCCACAGAGACTATTTGATCCGCAGCTGGTGTGAACAGAAACAGTTAAGGTTCTGGGTATGAACCGTTTTATGAACCGCCACTTTTTCAACAACAGGTAAGGTGATATTTCAATTTAACAGGACATTTTACTCAGGAAGTTCAGTTTAGTTCAGTAGGTTCTATAGAAGGTACTGGGGATTCAAACCACATTTCCTCACAATATATTAACAGAAATGCAGCTAATGAAGTCCATCTGGGTCAGCAGTAATCAATATGGTCTTGACAAGATATTCATTAAATGGTGCTCTAAGAATATGTCTGTTTTAGGATGCTCATTTTACTTGATATCTGGATTCCAGATACATACTGCAGTACAGCCCATTTACTTCTATAATTTATCTTCCCTCAGTGTAGTAAATTACAGTGTTCTATAAAGTAGGTCTAAACAATGTGCGGTGTCTTCTCCCAAACAATAATATTGTGCCTGGGAGGAGATCAAAGTTACACTCAAAAAGCAATGAGACAAAATAATAAATATGACCCTGAGAGAAAGAAAGAGATACAATAAAGAAAGCAATGTGTTCTTCTGTCTGATCTTTTGGCAGAATTCAACACACACATATACATGCACACACAAAGCCCTCTGGTCTCCCTTCAGTTTGGATTACGCTGCACTCAGATCAGCACAGTGTGGATGTGGAAGCTCAGGGAGAAGGCAGCGCAAATCCCAAAGCTGAAATTGTATATAGCCAGATATGCTCAGAATAGCTCTCAATCAGAAATAAAATACTCTCCACCAGTGAACTAGGACTGGTATAAAGCCACAAATGAACAAAAGAAAAATAAAAAAATAAAAACATGAGGCTGTCAGAGTAAGGCGGATCTTTGTCAAGTAACTTTTGAGCTATGCGCTGATGAAAAACCTACCTAATGGATCACAACATTATTGCAATAAAAAGAGGAATCATCCACTGTTGTCTGCTTGCTTTTTCCTTTTCACACAGTATTTCTTTAAGTGTATTCAGAGTAGTTTGGTGTACATCCATAAAAATTCAACTGGTGCAGTGCCTACTGTACAATACATACAGACAAAAAATAAAGGTTTATTGCAGTTTGTGGATTAACAAAATCTTCCACTACTTACAAACAAGTGAATGTGACTTTCTTGCATTAAAATCATCCTCAGTCATATTATTTCTTTACACAACGTTGGTTTCTATTCACGTCTGCTCCACGATTCATCTGCAGGTTCAGTCTGCGTATGCTGGCCTGTTTCATGTCTATCTTTAGTCGAGACTTGTTCATGTTCATAGGAGGTTCAGCTGGTTGAGATCATAGAAAGAACATATGCAAATTTAGCCGCAGAATGGCTTTTTGCTTTCAAGACATTTGGCAGCAATGCTATTATTAGTGGATTAAAAATGTACCACAAGTCTCAAGTAAGGTTAAAAGCAGAAGTTCAGAAGTTCATTCTCCACCTTAGAAGGAGCAGTTGAAAAAGGTCCATTTAGTCGCTGTTACAGTTTTGTTTTGTTTTCTGACAAATTGGCAAAGGCAAAGAGAAAAAGGGAATATATTAATGTAGTACTTTTGTTGTTGTGAGACAAAAACTAATTAAAAATGTAAGTAAAATTCAACATTAAATGAAATAAATTAATTGGTTCCATATGAACCTATGAACCTATGAAAGGATACTAAACAGTAAATTTCTTTATTCACCAACTGTTTTGGGCCTATTTGTTTCTGGTTAACATTAGGTCAAATTATTGTGAATCAGGTTATGGTCAGTTATTTTGGTTAAGAACAAGGAAAATTATTTTGGTATAAATTATAGGACAGTTTAGTACGTTTTTGGTTACGGTTTAGCTTTATTTTATATAAAAAATGTCATGGTCAAGTGCTCATGACCTACTGTACATTTTCAACACTAACTGGCCACAGTAATAACAAATAATTAAACTTTTTTTCCCTAACAAATAAAGTCTCCAGGCAACTGTCCCTCACTGTGCTATCGTAGTTTCTCCCTCTCTCTCTCTCTCTCTCTCTCTCTCAGACACATACATCACTCCTAATCACATCAGCAATTATAACTACTGCCCCGTCTCTCATTCAGCCCGATTCAAACACACATAAATGACACACTTACCATTGCGGTCTATGGCAAATGGCGTCCCTGCAGTGACAATTTCATAGTTGCAGATCTGGCTGTACTGTGGTGAACAGTCTTGGTCCCAAGCTTCCACCTGCAACATCACAAAATCCAGTTTCATCTCAGCAGCTGCCAACAACACCCAAAAGCCTATACTGTAGACAATAACAATATCCCACAGTTTTGACTGAATGATTCAATTTTTTTTTGGCATGGTTAAACCATCTTAACATGCATACTTATCTGTTAGGTTTATTCTAACAATTATAAAAGGATACAAAATGTAATAGAGCTAACTAGATAATATGTAACTATATTACAATTAATATAACAGCTAAATACCTGCAAAATGCTGTCGTAGATCTTGCCTTCTGTCACAGACGCCTTGTACAGTGGCTCCCGAAACACGGGACAGAACTCGTTGACATCATCCACCTGGATGTGAACCACCGCCCTGAATAGAGGAAGGAATGAAAGAAAGAGGGAGCAAGGAGGGAGTGAACAGAGCAGGAAGCAAGGGAGGGAAGAGAAGCAAAGAAAGTGGAGTGGAAGTGATTGATGGAGAAAAAGAAAAGAAAGGACATGGGGAAAGAAGAGATGGATGGAGAAAGGGAGAGAGGAGAGAAGGAAAAAAGTAAATAAAGATGATTAAAATTAATTAAGACCTGAAGTTTTTAGTATTAGTATTTCACTGTTTATCTTAAGAACGTTGGTTAGTTGAAGGCAGAGGAGAGTGAGAGAAAAACAGCTCCTATGCTTACAGATTTATCCTGAGAAACAGGATAGAGAAGAGTAGAGAAAAGGGATCACACATACAGGTAAGGTCTTATTTATTGATGTCTTATATGAAATTGGTTCCCATACTATCTATGCCCATTGAAGTTTTATTTAACAGGCTTGTCCATAGCAGATCTTGAAAAGTCAATGTTTCAAGGTATTTCATTTTTCTCTCTACCTTTCTTTCAATATCTCCTTCCCTCTTATGTCTCATACACATAAACACACAATAGCATCTACTGGAAAGGGGCTGCTGAAGATATTAACTAGGCACTCCGATAACATTTGTGCAGTAAGTATATAAATGAAGCAATAATTCAAATGTATTATGAAGTTTTCTTCACCAGTGACCTTCACTGACAACAGCTCATGGTGCATCTGAAGAAGCACATCTGGCTAATTAATGACATTAGCTTAATGAGGCCTATTTAGAATGTCATGCAGTGATAATGTCATACACACACACACACACACACACACACACACACACACACACACACACACACACACACACACACACATATATACACACACGGTGTGTCATTCATCATCTACTGGTGAAATTCATCACAGATCCCTGAGCTGATAAATTTCTCTCTTCTCCTTTAGTACCAAGCCTGCAGCAGCTTATTTTAGCAGCTCCTTGTCTCTGACTGAAGGACCAGAGGGTTTGATTTGCTGCTGTCCACGCCAGTCTGCCTGCATGTCAATCTCATTCACATAGCACTACCACACACACACACACACACACACACAATATTGGTGGGCCATTAGGGGGACATATCCTGAGAACAGAACTGCAAGTCTCAGCTGTCACTGCTGCCATACAGAGAGAAAATTAAAAAAGGAAAGAAGAGAAGATAGAAACAGCAAAGGCAAGATCTAATTATAGTTTCAAGTTATTTTTCTTTACAACTTTTAACTGTGTGTTTAAAGTTTTTTCATTTATGTAATAAACACCCATATTAACCTTATTTTCTTTTTTTTTTTTACTTCTAAATGAATTTGAAGGCATGGTGTATTGTATAATATAATATAATAAAATATATAGTAATCTTTGTTCTAATCTAAGTTGCAGTATGTCTACACTGTCATGTATTGGGCCTTTACTATATGTATGGATGCCAAGAGGCTCAAGTGCAACAACAAGGTAATAGGGATCCTAAATCACAAACAAACAAAAAGCATTCAGAAAACACAATTTCTATAACCCACTCCATCCCAATCATGCCATCACTATCTTGCAGGTTCTTGAAACCTCAGCTTGACAAATGACTTTTGACTTCCTCTTGTCTGTTTGAGTGGTGTTCGAAAATTAGATAAAAACATGAACAAGCTTCACATTACATTTTTGTAAATTGGATTTCAGCCATTTAAATATTTATTTGTATAAAGTGGGTAGGAAATACACCAAGAACATCAATATAATGCAGTCTAGCACGGTAGTGAGCTATTTTGTAATTATAATGTTAAGTTTTAATTTACACTGTCAGATAGGTGTTAATTAAACTCTGGTCATTTTGCAGCTGTATTTTCTAGTAATGTTGAGCAAATATCCTGTTTTCCTATTTCTGAGGCTCAAATTCTGACCATCTCTCCTCTTTGCTGAGAAAGTTTCCCTCTGTTTTTCACATGTTGTCAGTATATGTTTTTTTTTGAGAACTCATTTGTGCAGCTGCTTTTGTAACTTTGATTTAAATTCTGGCATTAATATTTGTTTCTGTCATGTCATCCTCCCACTTTAAATCAGATTTACTTTGACAGCTAAACAAGTGAGTCATGCTAAGATAAATAATAATTAGCAGTATGTGACAGCTTTAATGCAGGGTCTGACAATCACCTTTTTCAAAACTGAGCTTTTAGGCAAAAAGTTTCAGAGATACAAACATGTCAGATAGCCAGTGTTGGTGAAGTGACAAAATGTGTAAAGCTTTAGAGAACATATGCCAAACACCGCCTGACTGAAAGAGAGGCTGTGGTCACAAACTGACTGATAAAAGTTATTTGCTGACAACAAACTACAAGGTTCAACAGAGTTAAAAGACCCCCTTTCTGATATTGTCTTAACACAAATTGAACATTTTAAGCTTCAGAAAGGAAGAATTTGTTACAGGGAAAGTGTATTAATTTTTTTTATTACACTGTAACATATTCCTGTTATTTTGTAAGTGCATGAATACATGGTAATCTTTTCTTTAACTTCAAAGTTAGTTGTGATTTTTCTGTCAGTCTCACTTCTAGGCAAGACCCCAAGTGGGTTGATGAAAAGAATACTCATTGTAAACTTCTTAAAATAGAAATAAAACATTAGCATGTAAACCAAATATTGCTCTAGTATATTCATATTATAAGAATGAGGACACTAGTGCTGAGCAGTACACCGGATGAACCGGAATATCGGTTTCAAATTTTTATATAGTAATTTGTTTCTTTTGCAAAAGAACATTTGAGAAATATCTCCTTGAATGCTTAAATACTTAATAATTTAATAATTTATGTTGTTTGTATGTAAGTTTTAAAATATTTTGTATTAATAAGGAAGCAATGTTAAAGTTGTCGGCATATCCTTATAATTTCTAACAAAAACATGCTTGACTAGATCTTTTTATTGACAGTCAAATTAGGTACACCCACCCCACATGAAAAGACACTGTTTGACTCACTTGTGTGATTTCTTCCAGTCGGCCCCGCTGGGTCCGGCCCCACAGTCGTAGGCCTGGATTATGAAGGTATACTCCTTCTGGCTCTCACAGTCCACAGGGCTACTGGCCCTCAGGACTCCTTCTCCTGATGTGCGATTTAACACCACTGCCTCAAATGGAGCATCCTGACCGTAGATCTTAAAGGCACAAATCTCCCCTAAAAATGCAAGGAAAGAGAGGTTTAAATGATGTGTTTTACTTTCACAGTAAACAATTGAACATAGCTATTGTAGTGTTCTAGACAGTATTTCCTATTTTTAGTAGGGAACCATACTAAAGGATTTCTTCATGATTTGTGAGAATGTGTCATCAAAACTTATTTATTCTCCTTTTGTGCCAAAAATGAAGGGAACACTTTCAATCTACTATATACAAAATGTAATTTAGTGCGTCAGCAGCAACTTATAACTAAGAAAGACAAACAAAAACAGTGTGAAAACAGTCAGAGACAGAGGGTGAGAGATACACACTAAGTGAGAATTAAAAGAGCCAGAACTTTTGAACACATTATTTAGACAATTTTGAGGACAGTAGTTGGTGTATCAGTCGGAGATCTTGGCGAACTGTGTGAGTTCTAAAGAAGAATATAATGGGCTTCAAACATGTCTGTTTCCCAGCAGAGGGTGAATATTTTGCTCAGCATGTGGCTCATCAATGAATGCACAGATATTGAGGACTGTGGGTGCCTAATATGGAGGCCTGAGTTTAATTCTAAGTCAACACTGTAAGGACGAAAAAAACATGGGAAAAACACGAGCTTGGGAAAACATTTCCAATAATGACTTTTTTTTTTGTTGGTAAAATCTTATTATGTTGCTGTTTGTTTCTTCCCCCCCGCCCCCAGTCATTTTTTCAAACGCAGCAGCAGCTACTAAATTGCTCAGATAGTTGAGAATTAATTAAAGTGTGGGTAATGAAGTAAAAATTAACAATACACACTGCTGATAATTCCTTTATAGCATGGTTATTACTTCAAATATTAGTCTGAGTCCCATTTCTGGACACAGTGATCTTTGTTGGCGTGAGCTGCTCACAAAAAAACACAGCATACAGCTCCTGGGGTGTAGTTAAGAGAAAAATAATTTCTGATATGTGTCAAGCTGTGCCAGCTCGACAAAAGATGAAATTTGTCGTGCTCACAGAGTGTTCTACCATATGCACCGGGTGTATTGTGTTTGCCTAACGCGTGTATGTTTCTGTGTGTAGATGTGGTTGTGAGTCTTGAATCGTCTGTGGAGTTGCACAAGTGTTTATTTCAGGGATTGGGGAAATCTCCTTGCACAGGGAACAAAAAGCTGCAGTGCTCTGACCCTGTGCTGGCTGATATCTCTCAGAACATAGTGGGGACACAGCGGAAACAAAAAGCTACCTAGCTTTAGGAATTCTGCTTGCATGCTCAAACCCCACTGACAAACACAAAGACAAAGTTCCCTCTCGCCACTGGCTTCTTTCCACTTCTGTTCCTCTCGTCTTCATATCGCACTGTCAAGTGCAGTCTTATAGCCACTTATTTTCTCTCTCTGATTTCCTTTTAACGCGATTCCACTTTTTCAAATCCCGTTCTTGGCAAAATAATGATTCTGGGTGGGCTTCAATGTATGATCCCCAACCAATTTTCAAGATTCCCGGCCCTCGAATTTGCCCCTTTGAGGTGTTATCAAAATGAAAAGGTCCCCAATACGGCTGTGGGATGTGGTTTGTACGTATGTCACTGAGTGGTATGGAAGAAGGGGCGATAAGCACAGCCTTGATCCTGCCCACACATACACATTCATTCACACAAACTGAGCAAATAAGGTCTCAGAAGGGACCAAAGAGAGAGAAATCTGGTTTGAAAATACCAGTGATTATAATATACTGCTGCAGCCCTTATGCATAAACCTCGACTTAGTGGTGGGGAGCAGGAAAAGGTACTTCCACTTAACAGTTTGGGGTTGGATGCAAATCCATTTTCTGCTCCATCTGTTGTAACAAATTCATTTTTTGGATTACATTTACAGGAAAACGACTCATGTAGTGGAGGAAAGATAGAGAGAGCAATAGAAGAGGAGAGAGAGAGAGAGATGAGGATGAAGAGGGATGTGATGTGCCAATGTATATGTAAATGGTAATGACTGTGTCAGCAAATGTGTACTTTACACACACACACACACACACACACACACACTTTCTTTTCTGCCACTTAGTTTGCTTTTTGCCAGCCCCGCCATAGGGAACACTATAATTTCACTGCGTTCTGGTGTATGGATGAAATGAAGTCTAATCTTTTGGCCTATACTTCATGAGGGAAAGGGGTCGCTTTTCAAAGTAAATACCATAGATTTTTGCTTCGGGGAGTTGGCCTGTTGCCATGGCAGATTGAGAGTAAAGTGGAAGAGTCAGCAAAAAATGGTTCGATAATAACGTTCATCTAAAAAAGATGCCACTCCACAGAAAGCTTGAGCGGCATAAACTGCATCGACAGAAAATGTCAAGCTGTCAGGGAACATGCATTTCACGAGATATTAAATTGCCAAAATAATGGAAACGGACAAGATGAATACAATTAATGAGAAAACGATCCTCCGCAAACTAAGATGCCGTCACAAGGAGCAAAAACAAATTTGTGTATCCCTACCGTAAGTAACAGTAGTTGACAGAGCATTTAATTTCAGCAGTATTTTAAAAGATTTTTTTAAATAGCTGTTTGATTTAACAATTGTTTACACTTTATATTTAATATCCATGGGTGTTTTTAAAGGGTAAAAAAAATCTGTCAAATATAGTGTTCAAAATAAGGATTTAATCTAAAAACTAAGACCAACTGGCTGCATCAGCTTTACATATTTTCTTACATTTTTGTGCTTCTTGGTGTACTTTAATTTGTGTTACTGGCTTGTTGTGATTATTCTCTCTGCTTTCTGTGTTTAGTTTGTAATAATTTGAGTTTGTACACCTGTCTGTATTGATGCAAGTTTAAAAGAAAAGTTTTACTGAACTAATTTTCATGTCATTAAACAGTAATGTTATACTTGGAAAATGAAAATAAACTGATTTATGTAAGACCAAACTTATTTCTAACAATAATACTAATGAACAACTGAATAATGGATAACTGTAAACTTCATAACAAAGTACTATGAGAATTCAAAGCAGTCTTCAATCGAATAAACACTATATGAAATATGATCATGATCTACATATTCTTCTGGATGAAATGAGGACTTCTATACTGATTGAATTTTCTTGTTTATTCACTTGATCAGTATTTTTTTTTTCTGTTAGAGAAGTTTGCATTTTCTTATATATTCAGATATTGATGGCTATACTGGCTCGTATTGTCTGTTGTGTACCATATTGTTCAGAAGTTTTAATCACATTTCGACAACCTGAGTAGTTATCAACAAGCTGTACAATGAGCACAATTTGTTTAAAATATCAAATCAGCTTTCTTAATTGACCTTAATTGAGAGTCTGTTTATTAAAAAAAGGTTTAAGCATTTAACAAAAAGAAAGCCTACAATAAACTATAAATAAATAGTTTAAATTAAACAGAACAATAAAATACAGGCTAAGAAGATTAAAAAGTGACTAATGGACTGAGTGAATACTGATGGATTCAGCCTCACCTCAGGAAAAGCACAGTTGTTACTAATAACATTAACAATGGTGCTGCTCAGCGCACCAGCATGCACAAGCCAACACGTCGTTAATGTTGTTCTTTAGATCTGTGACTACGACAGGTCAAAATGTCGGCGCTCTGACATGCAAGCCATAGCAGTAATTTCAATCAACACCAACCATTTACAATCAGTACCAAAATGTAATGTGAACCAGTGTACAGACAATGAATGCAATTTAAGCTAGGAGTCTGGCAGCAGCATATTGGTCAAGATGTGGATGACATACTGTGAAAACGACTTATGTGCAGGATGTAACAAACAGGATGTGACAAAGGCATGAAGAACGGTCTTGAAATTACAGGGCTGACCTTAGCAATACGATGAAAAAAAGCAAGAACAATGACTTCTCTGATGTGCTTGTTAAAATGGAAGCAAGAGTCAGTGTAGAGTATGAATAGACACATGGGGTCAGCGCCTATGATTCTAATGTCTGTCTTTAACTGGAGAATTAGAGAAATTGAAGTCAAGAAGACAATTATGAAAAAACCCGAAAGGCTGCTTCAGTCCTTTGGGTCAAAGGAGAGGTACAGTTGTGTATCATCAGCATGAAAATTAAAGAACATGTCATGCTGTCGAATAATGTGACCCTTGGGTAACGTGAGTGGAAACAAATTAGGGCCAGGAATGAATTTATATCTGGAGTGACAAGCTAATGCTTCACCAATTAGTGCCCTACGAAAGGAAACACCCCTCTTATTTAGATTTTAGCAGTTAGCAGTGTGATGTATCACCTCGCACTGTGACTCTGTGACCTGCACTGTACTGCAACTGCGAAATTTAAGACGGAATGACTTCGAAACTACTGAAAGCCTCAAGTGAACCCTCCTCCTCAGTCGAGCCTCAACAGAGAAGCAGAAAATTCAATCATGTTAATTCCTCTTCTTAATCAAATACTGTTGTGACTCCATCTGGTGTCTGTGCCTGTTTGTCTGTCTCTGCGTAGAGCATTAGACATAAAAGCTTCAGTATCAAGATTTGACGTGTGTGTGTGTGTGTGTGTAGTGGCGGAGCTGTAAGACCTTGATTAAAGTGAGTTTCTAAGCAGACAGTGTGTCAGGCAATTTTAAGCCCCGATTCCTTCACTCTCCTGCCTTCAGCTCCCAGTCACCCCTGTTCCTCTCATTTAATTAATGACTGGATTATACTTCATCCCAGTACTGACCCACAGATATGCCCTAACTACACTCACTCAGACACACACACACACACACACACACACAATTATATAGAATGTATACACATGTTTATACATGAATTTCATACAAACACATACTGTATAGTCTGTGGGATCAGGAAATATACACTATAGATAATGAAAAATGTTTTAAGGGTAAAGGGCTTCATTACAGTGTCTCAGATTTGAATCAGACTTTATTGACTCAGACTTTGCTTTGTTGTGTTTTTTTATATTAAAATTGAAACAAAAAGGCTACAGCTCTATTATGAAAGTTTCTCTGCTTTTAGGTAGCATATATTAGTAAAATATCACAATTTT